CATACATACATACATACATACATACATACATACATACATACATACATACATACATACACACACACACACAATAACAAACTAATCACTCCAAAAATAACTCACTCTTGTGCAATCAATTAGCAAGCGCGCTAGTGAACATATTTGAAAAGCGAACTTTGCAATAGTTGAAGGTGAAGTACGAAGACATTCCTTGTTAGAATAAGAAAAAACGGATACAAAAAAACGCGACAAAATAGCTGTTGATATGTGGGCTGCAGTCTGCCTGCGTCTGCATTATTTATTGAACAGTAAGATTAGATCAATATTGAGCATTACAATCTAAACATTTCTTACTATGGTAAACCCGAAAAATGCAGCAATTTACATTAGCTTAGTACCTTTAGAACATGACCGACGAAGTAGCAATTGTGACGAAAGCTAAAGAAAACATCATCTTTGCAATGAGCGCTCTTAGTGAACAGCAACGGTCAGTTATCTAAGCTTTTTGATCACATATTAGGTTATATTTTTTGTTTATAGAAGAGAACTGTCACAAGCGAAGCACAATCTCATCCACAAATGTTCATTCAATGGAAAACCATGCGACATTGACAAGTGGGTCCTATTGTCCCTCTTAACTTAACAACATACTTCAATGAGATCGATTTCGTACCTATGACAGATTTTTTTCGATGTACTTATCTGCTATAGGGACTTTGCAATCATCTCTGATCCCACGTTTGGTAATTGCTTCACTTTTAACTACAATCGATCCGATTTTAAGAGCAGTTTGAGGGCTGGACCTATGTATGGTGAGGATCTCCACTTGTAGCGGAGCTAATCCAAAAACTTTGTATGTACTATAATTAGGCCTCCGGGTGATGTTATTCGTCAATGCCTCTGATTACCTGCCTACTTCAGAAGCTGTTGGTGTACGACTGACCATTCACGACAAGGATGAATTTCCGTTCCCGGTGAGTCTCTGTCTTTGCTACTACCCCATATAGATAGTGTGCTATTACGGAAGTTCCTCACTGAAATAATTAGATGATTGAATAGCCTGTCATCACACATAGTGAGGCCCCAGAATTTCATTTTCTTCACATTGTATCCTCGATGTTGGCATTAAAACGCGGCGGCGATGTGACAGGTCTAAACCTATTATTCGATTTCAACTGTTTCTCCCTCGCAACACGTCAGCCCACCCTCGTTGGCTTTTCTTCAAGGCGTTTGCTCGTGAGGGATGCGTTCTGTAGTTCTTAGGATCCATCTGTTGCTTCCTTTTCGTTATATGAGCAACCTGTCGAGATCCTCCTTTTAAAAAGGTGTTCGCTGGAGCAAAGACAGTCTTAATTTGATATCCGTGCCGTGAAGTCCATCGAAATATTTAGTGCGTCGATTATACCTCAGAGGAGCTTTCCCAGTACTACATAGGTTGCTGCGACCTTCGACGAATTCACAGTATCAGGCCGCTCCGCAGCGCAACAGTGCGCTGGTAAAACGTTGAAAAATCGAAAGATGGACGCAGCTGGTCTGTGACTTCCTTCAAGGTCCGAATTCTTTTTTGAGATCGTTGCAGAGCAAATGCTTAAAAAATAAGGAGAAGAAAAAGATGTTTCCACCTTTGGAGATGGAGCCTTCTAATCTTATTTCATGATTCTCGTAAAAGGCATTTGTCATAAAACTGATTCTTCTTTCTGGATTCGCAATCCTGTCCTCCTCCTCATTTTGTTAACTTATTTCAACATGCTCTCTGTTTAAGTGATATTCCTTGAAAAGAGAATATTGTTGTTTGCAATAACTTACGAAGAATCCAAAATTTTTTTCGCAAGCAATATCTTTATCTCTTTCGTTCCAGTCCAGTGACTTACTTCATTACCCACTGTAAGACAAACAGCTTTGGAGATCGCCTTGTCCGGTCCCCTTCGCAGATAATATGCTGAAGAAATGCCTTGACGTTGTAGAGCAGTCTTGTAGGAGTGGAACATGTCTTAGTCGACGAGCGTGACAGTGTGGCGTTAGTCTCAACGCTGTTACCGCTTTCTAGAGGACAAAGGTTGGGACGAGAGGTAGGCAAGCTAGCGGCAAAGCTCAATACCTTAAAATCGTGAATGTGAATGCAGTTAATTTAGTG